TTTTTTTTCGTTTTCAGTTGAAGAAATAGAAAAAGTAATATCAAAGAAAGAATATCCACCACGATTCAATCCACCACTTACCGATAAATTTGCGGACATCGATGAAACGGTGCGACTTTCCTGCAAAGTGGATGCAATGCCAAAAGCTACAATAACGTGGTACAAAGATGGAGTACCATTGCGGGACGATGGACGAGTGACCATTCAGAATGACGAAGATGGGAACTGTTTACTGACCATCAATCACAGTACTGAATACGATGATGGTGCATATCGATGCGTTGCTGTCAATGAAATCGGTTTGCATTTACAGTAGTTTAGGAATTAGAAGTAAGCAGAAGATCCTGAATTTTATAAAAAACTGAGACTTAGCCGAGAGAAAAAAGAAAAAAGATGAAAGACTTATTGGCTAAGCCACGATTTTTCTGACGAATTAACAATATTTGGAAAATTAGCGTGACAGAGAACTTTTGACAATACTTTGGGGATATTTTTTGAACTTAAAAAATATCTGTGGCTGGGGTGACATGTGATTATCATGGGATAGTCGCATTGGTTATCCGAGTGGTCAATTTATTTTTGGCAATTAGTAAGTAACCAAATAAACAGTCAGACAATCCAGATGAGCAGCGTACATGCGTCATTACGACGTAAATCTGCTCGCCCTGCTGACCGCCGTTGACATCTGCATTGGCGAGTGGTGCATCAGAGAAGGCGAACGACCACTCGGACAGCCTCCGAAGAGGTCGCATGTGTGCCGATGAAGCATTGTGTAGTAACTGGAGTTATAAAACAAAGATCTGTTGGTCAGGCTTAGCTGTATATGAATTAATGGACCGAAACGTCTTATCTCGCTCTCACCTCCTCAGTCTACATTACTACTTCCTCCTAATTTCTTCACACTCTGCTATCTGCACTTCCAGGGCTACCTGGAGGCTGCAATCTGCTCAGCTGTACACGGCATATAAAAGCATTTCAGTAACGCCACAAACACGGAAGACACACTAGTACACGGGCGATTTTGACATTTTTGGTATTAACTAAATGAGCGGTACTTTTGTATTAATGAGTTGCCGCAGTCACACGTGGTCGCAACAAATTGTCGCCGTTAATGTTGGTGCAAAAAGTCTCACTAGGACCGAAAAGACAGCGACAGACAGAAAATCTTGAGTTCGAAGCAGCATATTCAGGATTTCAATTTTGTCGCTTAGCCAGCTTTTGAGCTTATTTCCAGATCGAGATTTCTGTGTTGCTTCTCTGGATGGTTCTTGTGATTGATAATTTTTTTTTTCAGGAAGCTCAAATTCGGCATGTATGGTATCCATCCGTAAATTAAAGGAAGAGGTGAAGAAAGAAGGCGAAGAACCATTCTTTACCAAAGGGCTGGTAGACAAATGGTTGGAGCGTGGTGATAAGTTAACGCTGACGTGTACTGTAACCGGTGACCCACAACCTGACATTCGATGGTATTTTTTTTACATTTTGCGTAATTTGTGCTTGAGTTTATAAGAAGATGCTTTTGCAGAAATGGAAGATACATTTGGCTACTGGAATTTAGAATTTAATTTTTTTTTCGTGCAACATTTCCGATAAGTTACGAAAGAAGTTATTTCATTTGGGTAACACCTAACACATTTCAACTTTTGCTTGTGAAAACTTTGTCGGCTGGTGAGTTTGCAGAGCTGGAAGACTAGTCTTTTCCTCTCACTACCCCCCAGTTATGATTACTTCAATTTTCTGAAATTACTTGAAATATTTAAAGCTGTGAGTGACTTAAAT